ATCTTCAAAATTGAAATTAAAATTTAATTTAATAATTTTCCAACTGATTTTGTTATAATAATTAAGCTTCAATACTAACCCTTTTATTATTGAAATACTACTAAATTGAATTTTAATTTTAATTTTGAAAGTAATTTAGAATAATTTATTTTATTGAATTTCTTAAATTCAAATTAACAATATTATATCTTTTCTTTTTATTTTATTAATTCCTAAAAGGTTGTGTATTAAATTCGAAACTTATTAATCTATAAATTTAGTAATGGTATAACGAAATAATAATATTTCGCTTTGTTATATATTAGTTGAGATAATAATATATGAAATGATGATATTCGGGGTTTTTATTGTTTATTACAATAGCTTTGATTTATTAGCTATGATATTATAATTGTTAGTAAATATAGACTATAATAGTTTTAAATGAAAATAGAAAAGATTAATTCTTTTTATAATGTCTATATAAAATCTATGACTTCTTGTATTTAATCAACTTTTTAAATAAAATATAATATAAATCTTTAAAACTTATGAATATTATAGATATAATATTTTTCATATTCTCCTCAAATTTAAACTTGAATTGATATTAATTAATAACACAATGAATAACTTGACTAATCATTCGAAAACCTCTTTTAGTAGTAGTAGTAAATTCTTAATCGATTCGATCTATATAGCTATACTAAGATCATTTGATACGCTTATATCTAGTTTTAATTAAATAAAATAGATGGGGAAAAAAAATAAAAATTTCTTTCTTTTTAAACTTCCCTAATGAAATCGTTAAATAGTTTTTCAAGCAATTCCTTCAAATTCCTTAAATTGTTTATATTATATATTTATTTTATTTTTAACCATTTATTTATAGATCCTTTTGATTTCAATACTATTTTATATAATAGACAATATATTATTAACTACAATTAAAGAAATAATCATTCTTCAATATAAAGTATATATTATTAAAGTAATAGTATTCTAATATTATTATATCTATTATTTCAATCTGATTCAATTATTTAGTTTCATGATATAGTCTTGTTCTTTATATTAATAGAATAATTTGATAGGTTCTAAAATATTATATTCTATATTAATAAAATAATTTAATAAGAGAAAAGAGAATAAAAGATATTAGATTTTAAAAGAAATTATATATTATTGCTATATTATAAAAGAAAGTAGATATAAGGCTTATAAGTAATAGATTAGAGATTATAATAGAATGATTTTTAGAAAACTCGAAATACTAAAAAGCGAAAACAATTCTTAGAAAGGGATATAGTATTATAATTAATTACAACTTTTATAATATTTTGGAAAAAACTTGAATAAAAAGAAAGGAATTATTATAATAAAATAAAAAGTGTAAAGTATATTAAGGGATTTACAAATAAGAGATTTTTAAACAAAACAAATATATAATATAAACAATTCAAAGAATTTAAAAAGATTATTTAAAAGATTACTTAAAGATTTTAATAAAAAAATTCAAAAAAGAATAGATTTTTATTTCTTTTTCTTATTTACTTTATTCAATTAGAACTATATATGAGTGTATTGTATAGTCTTATTATAGCTAGATAAACCGAATCGATTATGAATTCACTACTATTACTTTGATTTATTAAAGTTGATTAAAAATTATGAATTATTTGAATATGTGAATCTAAGGTTTTATAATGAAAAGGAACAATCTAGAATCTCAAATTTGTTATTTAATAATATTGTTATAAGGATAATTATTAGATTAAATAAAAGAATTTAAAGAAGTACAAAGAGCTATTTCTATATATTTAAAATCAAAAATTCAAAGATACCTCAATTTTGGAATATTGTATCGATCTGAAAAAACCTCTAACTAAAACCTCCCATTAAAACCTCTCATTAAAACCTCTTAAAACCTCTTATTGAATTCTCTTTTTAAATCTTTATAAATCTATAAATCTATAAATCTATAAATCTATAAATCTATAAATCTATAAATCTATAAATCTGGAATCCGAGATTCATTTTCTCTTTTATTATGTACTTTAAGACTTCAACTTAATTACAAATATTTAATCAATCCTCTAAAAGCTTTAAAGTCTTCAAAACTTTAATTTAACTTATCAATAGACATCTTCTTTGATTAATAACAAATTACTTTTTTTAAAAAAAATTGTTAGAAAGCTTTCAATTTTTAGAATACTGAAGTTGTTTTTCCAATTTCATTTCATTAGTTGTTGATTTCTGATTTATTGATTTTCGAATTCTACTATTTTGATGCTTGTGTATAGTGGCATCTATACTTTTTCTCTATCAATCTGCTTCCAAGTATGAAACATGTTTTAAAATATGTATATTAGGATTAATACTCGACAGATCATCCTCTAGAATCTCATATAAAAGGAGAGTATTCAGATATCAATATTATTTAGAGGTCTAATATCAAGAAATGTATTTCAACTAACTTCACATCTCTTTAGAATTTAAAGCTTCCTATTTTTCTATTATTCAGATAACTCTTTATATGTTAATTAATTATGATCTTTAATTTCATTTCAATTTGAATACAAATTTAAATATATATTATTTTTATTAAAAAAATCAGGATATAAGTATCCGAAGATTCCTAGCTTCTATCAATAGTAGTAGTAGTAATAGTGTTTCTTAACGTTCAGTAAGTCAGTATAAAATCGATTTCAAGAACTTTTCAAGGGGTATAAAAGTATACTAAATTATGAATTTATTTAATATTAAAAAAAACAAATCTATATATAAAAGTAAGAAAACTTTTTTAAATAACCTTTCCTTTATCAATTGAAATAAGACTTATATGTTTTGGATATTTTGAAGAATTAGATATAGTTTTAAGGAATAATTAAATATATACCTTCCAGAATAGGTTCTTATAAATATAATTGAAGTTAAATATATATATATATATATACAAATAAGATATTTGTTATATTTTTAATTATTGTTTTATAAGGTATAACAAGAATTAGGTTTTATTAGAAAAAGAAAAGAAGAAAAAAAAGAAAAAAAAGAGGAGAGTGTTTTAATATGAATAAATATTAGAATAGAAACAAGTAACTCCAAGGAATTTAGTTAATTTTAATAATTATAATATTAAGAATAAGAAATGATCAAAATCTTTCATTATTAATAAAAATGAAAATAAGAATAACTGTTCAAACTATTTTTCAAATTAAGCTAGCAATTTGTGATATAATATTAAATATTTAGAAATCTTTTAGTAATTATAGAAGTCTTTTAGATTAGTATTTTAGTATTTAAATCTTTTATAATGTTGTATAAAGTTTTCATATTCTATATATATAATAAGAATATAATATAAAATTGCTTTTGATAAATTCAATTTAGGGAAAAGCTTTATTATATAAAGAAGATTTCATCTATTATATATTTTTAATAAAAAGAATTATCGTTTTTATTATTAAATTTGAGTTCTTCAATAATAGTATTTATCTTATCAATAATAGGTTTTGCTATAAGTTTTAGATTTGAAATAGATTTATAGAAATCAAGGTTTATAAACTTATTAATTATTTTATTTCCTATAATTTTAATATTATTAAAAGATTAATAGGTTTTGATATTAAAGATTTATACAATGTTTTGATAGGTATGAAAAGCTTATTGAAATCGGTTTGATATATTATTATATAAATATTAGATTTTTAAGATATTGTTAATATAAAGTTATAAATAATATCAATTAAGTAAAGGAATTCCGAGAATATATTAGAGATTTATTTAGGTTTTAGTAATTTTTATATCGAAAATACAAGAAACATAGTCAATTAAATTGGAATTTATAATCAATTACTTCTAATTTTAATATAGTATATATTTGTATTTCATAAGTTTCTTTTCGTTTTTAATTTGTTTAGAATTATTTAAGAAAATTGAAACTTTATTAAAAAGAGATTAGAATTATTATCTTTTGAACTTAATTATAACGATCTCTTTATTAACGTTATTTATGAAATTGATTTTATATTCTGAAAAGAAATAAAAAGGTTTTAATATATATTGTATAATTTTAATGAAAAGAGTTCTAACATATTAAATTTTTGTTTTAATTTTTTATTGATGATTAGTTTTCTTATTTTTATTAATGAATAAGAATTTAATTTAACGAATTATTAAATAAATAATATTTATTATCTAAGTATATATAACAATATGGAATTTGGTTTTGTTTAATATAATATTGACTAAAAGAATATCAAGGTTTTTAAAAAGAAGAATAATAAAAATGGGTTTTTATATAGAAAGTACTCCTCTGATTGTCAATACAAATGTTCGTTCAAATAGATCGATATATTAGTCAACTTGTATAGGAAAAATGAGGTGTAGCTTCTATTAATACTGCCTCAAGACAACAAACTTTTTTTTGATCAAATGATAAACTGATTATTTTCAGATTTAAATATTTTAATGAACTATATCTTAAAAAAGTTTCACGCCTATCTTTCTCCCTCATTTCTCACTTTCCTTACATATTATGTACAATTACTTGATCTCATTTTTCTCATTTGATTCAATATCCTTTCAAGCTCATTTACAATGAGCAAAACAGATGCGAATGTGATGGATGAATGGACATTCGATGAGAAAAAGTCACTTTTCAGGATCAAGATACATATTCCTACTGGATCGATAGTTAGTTCACAATAAACTTTTACAATCACTATAATAGCATAAACATGACAATGTCAAAAAGTATTGACTGGTAGTTTTTGATACCCATCTAAAATCAAACCTTTATGCGCTTCATATTATCTCTTCGTATCCATCAAGAGTACTAACTGTAATAAACCAAAAATGTGTATCTATGTTTAACTCCACTCTAACCTTCCATACTCCATATCCATTGCTTGTATTTCATATTATCATAAAGACAATTACCCCTCATTCTCGGCCGAATCCATCAATACTTCTCTTCTAGTTCCTCTACTTCATTCCCTTGAATTCATAAAACCTTACTATTTCGACTGCACACCAAAAAACTTCCATATCAGTGGAAGCAAATTTCTATCTTCATAATCCTTGTAAATTATCTCTTGACATTTCTTAGTTCGGTTATCTCTCTTCAACTTATCCACTTTAAAGGCTGCATCCCACTTTCGAATTGATTTCCGGACTTCAGCCCTTTGTTTTTGGACGCAACTTTCGTAATCGAAGAATGATTTCTTCGTTGTAGCTGATTGTATATCTCGAAGACTGCGCACTGCTGATAGCCAAGAATTGAAAGGCTCTACACAAGCATTGGCATAACGGTTGTGGAAAGCCGTCCCACGGTCATTCAAGATATTATACACTTGATTCTCGCCAGCCTTATCTGCTTCAAGTAGAAGTTTGATTTCGTGCTTTGGCACTCCATACATCGTGTCTAAAAGAATATCATAAAACTCAGGATGGTCATCGGCTAGCTTCATCACTGCTCCCAAATCAGTTTGATGTGCCAGGTGATTTCGTCCCTTTCTGGCGATTTTCATCCATTCTGGCTCAGATATCTTCTGCTTGTGTTCCTTTTTGGCAAATACCATTCTCCATAATTGCTTTCTCATATTGGCCGTCTCTCCCTCATATCTTTTCTGTTTCTCTCTTTCCAGCATTTCAATTCTTTGATCTGCGACTATTTTCGATTCTTCTGCGACTATTTTCGATTCTTCTGAGGCTCTTTTCCATTCTTCTAAGGCTCTTTTCAATTCTTCTGAGGTTCTTTTCGATCCTTCTGAGGTTCTTTTTAACTCCTCAATATCTGCTTTCATATCCTTCACTCTTTCTTCGAACATGAGGTTTTTTTTCTCGTGAAGGCTGGGATTGTTTGTGATTATCTTCTCGTGTGTGATAGTGTCTCTGTGGCCAACCAATTCCATCATATCTACTTGTTCCTTGACCTTTGGTTTGATTGATTTGAAAGTACCCTTCCCAAAGAGCTCAATGTCCTCATTGTTGAGAGGAATGTTTCCTAGGAGATGATAGACTACATCTGTTTGTTTCCTTTGCTACAAACATTGTTAGCGAAGTACAACTTATGTGATTCAGACAGCAGAGTTGATCTTTGATAGATACAGAATCTTGAGGAGTTTGTGATTTGTAAGTGTCAAAGATCTTGGGGAGAGAACTATAGAAAGGTACGAACATGCTTAAAATTGTGTTCACTCTGTATTCTGTGGTAGTTGCCATGTAGTCTCCAGTTTATGGGTGACCCGAAAGTGAGTGTGCTTGGGATGAGTGGATTACAAAATTTTCGTCGGATCATTCTGTCAGTGCAGAAATGGAGAAAGCCCTGGAGCTTAGAATGTACAATTGAGAAGGATATGGTGATGGTGAGGCAGTGGCGTCTTTTTAATGATAGTGACAGTGATCGTGAGGGTGATAAACGTAGTTGTTCTTGATGAAATGCATGCGTTTGGTTTTCAATAGTGTGTTTGTGTTCAAGGTAAATGTTGATCTAGATCTTTCAAAACGCTCGAGCCATCTATAGGGCTGAACTTTTAGCTAAGGAGTACAGCTTATTAAACCACTTATTGAATCATAATAAACAAGCATACACATCATGTATGATATACCTAGGTATGTATCTTCAAGACTGTAGATACAATGATTAATTTCAAGTCATTTATGCCTCTCTGTCAAAAAATCCCAGTAGAAAATCTTCCAAGCCAATCTCCAGGATGCAGATGCCATCCTCATCTACGGTAATAAGATTTCAAGCTATGAGGAGAGTGTGTGTCTTATTGCATCTAGATTCTAGATCCTGTTACCATGTCTAAATAAGTGTAACTCTTTCCTCATTGAAATTAAACTAAGTAAGTATCTTCTAAACCCCCCTTCTATCTGTCCTCTTCATACACAAAATAAAACCTTCCCACAGCAGTTACTAGTGAGCCCCTGAAACTTAAGAAAAACTTGATTAGGCTGCCGGTAGTTGACTACCCACCCCACCCCATCATCAGGGTCGTACGGGTTGATTCCCCGATTATATATTTTATTTTAATGTACCACCAGTGGGTGCACAGACTCACGGAACAGTATAATAATAGAGTACAATTTCACACCTCAATTAATCAACTTCAAAATATAATAGAAAATTTAATTCCAATTAAATATCATTCAAATAAATATATTATATTTTTCAAGTATTAAAAGATAAAATTTGAAAGATTGATTCGAAAAAACAAAGTTTCGAGCTTAAAAATTCAATAATATATTTTCTCATTAAATATTTTAATAAGAAATTATATAATTAATCATAAAAGTTTAAACTTTTTTTTTAATTAATTTTTTCAAGATATAATCTTTATACTTAAAGATTATAATTATTAATTTTAAAAAGATTTAATAATAAGTTGAATTTTAATTGAATTATTAAAATCACTTCTTTTTTTAACGAGAAATTGTACTTTCTTTTTAAGTGTCCCGTGAGTCTGTACACCCACTAGTATATCAAGCTTCACTTTAACCTACTACTCCAGCCCCTTAAAAGACTTACTCGAGTACATCTTGTCACGGATCGGCCTCAATCGCAACTACGATCGCTCACATATACTTATACATATATATACAATTATATATATATAGCTAGCATATAAATACACTCTATAAGCATTTTACTTTTGATTTTATAATTATAAATTCTAAGAATAAATTATATTCTATTCTTATAAATCTTTTATAGTAAAGTGTTACATTATTTACAATTCATTATATAATCGTATGACTATCTAATAACCATTTAAATAATACCTCATAATTTAATATCTTCTTAAGTGAATCGTATTGATTTAATATTACTTATAAAAAGAAGATTTATTCTAAGTAACCCTCGATGAAGATATATTCTCCCAAATATCTAAATTATAAGTACTATTATTATATCTATATGTACCAACCCTAATATTAATATTAATTTATTTGTATCGATATCAAAAGTATACTAATCTCCGATTAATTAATTTACTTGTTAGGAGTAAGAATAGTCTTATAAAAGTAATAATGATATTGCCTTAGGCTTTAATATTAATATTAATAGAAAAGAAAAGAATATAAAAAAATCGTTTATTAATTTCAATGTAATATTAATACAATTGAGGTATAAGTACACTTGCTTATAAAGTAAGTATAAATATTTCAATTTCTATAAGAATAAATTGTTTAATTATAAATACAAATCAATAATACTCAAAGTATTATTAGTTTATTTCATACTCTTTTACAACAACTTTATATAGCTTTTTTTGTAAAGCATAAAATCTGGATTTCTAATGTTTCTATAAAATCTATTAAATAGAATGCTTTTATATTTAAAAAGAAAAAAAAACTATTTTCAAGGTTATACCTCGAAACAATTTTGTGCTTATTTAAAAAAAAAAAATTTATTTGTTAGTAATCGTATTTAATTATGATTTATTATTCCAACCTATATCTCATCTACTTTCTAATATTATTCTTACAAAGAGGTTGTATATTCTAAAGCTTATTAATTTCTTATTAAAACTTAAAGATAATGTAGAGTTAAAAGCAAGCTTATAATAGTTATTGATTATTAAGCGATTAGAATTATATATAGTATTACTTAACTTGAAATTATAATGCTGATCTTATATAGTAAATTAAATAGAAGGGGAAGTATAATAACATTTATATTCCTTATATATTTAAATTCTTTTTTTAATGGAATTATAATTAGTTGATAAGCTCGTAGTAATTTATAAAAATTCTATTGAAATTGACTATATATAAACTAAGTATGAATATTGGATTATACTTAATAATGTCTAATAAGGTAATTTTGTATTATAATATTAGAAGTTTTGATTACTTATTATATAAATGGAAATTATTAATAATAAAATACTTTTTTATAATTTAAAAAAGAAAATGTTCAATTTCCTTTAATAAGCTATTAGTCTCTATATTAAAGAATATACTATTATTAAAGATCTTATTAATAAACTTATAAAGATTAATAAACTCAAAGTTATTATTCAAGAATACAATTGTTATAAATAAATTAGGAACATATTAATTAAGAAATCTACTAATAGTATTCTTATACAAAGTATATCTAAGAGTACTTTTCAATTACTTAGTAATTTTACTTTATTTCCCTAAGCTTATACTCTTTATTCTCTTTATATTTCAAATAGCTATATAGAAACCTTTAAATTAAGTATTATTCTTATTTTAAAAAACAATTTCAATTATAATATCATAATCTTTATATTGAAGGTAAATCATAATACAATGTTATATATAATTAATTTTAATATTATAATCGAATTCCAAAAGATTGAAGAATTTAAAGATTTTTAAAATATTAAAGAAGGTATTAAAAAGAATATAGATCTAAAAGTATAAACAAAAACTATCGAGTTCATTTATATTATTAAAGATTAATATTTAAATCAAAATGTTTAAATAGAAGTTCCTATTTAAATATAATTCGAAATATAAGATTTCTCAATTTATTAAAATTAATAGAAAATGATTCTATAACCCTATTTTGTATTCTATTAAAAAACAAATATTTATTTGAAACTCAATCTTTTATAAACTCTGAAACAAATAATTACATTTTTATTAATAAGATATTCTTTACATTATTATTTCCTATATTTAAACTTTTTGTTTTACCACTTAATATTATCATTAAAATTAAAGACTATAATAATATAACAATGTTATGGGAGCTACCTCTAGGTCACATAGAAATGGCTAGAGATTTTTCAAAATGATTTAGATTAAACTTCAAGTAGGAATTCAATAAGATTATAATTAACTACAATTCTTATAATTAAAATAATAAAACTAATAATTATTTTTGAGCATAAAGCTTTATATTGTAATAAAATCTATTCCCTTATATGAATCTTTGTACCTTATAAATCAATAAGTCAATTACTATAAAACTAATTTCAATAAATCGATTTCCTAATTATGTAATATCCATTCTGTAATTAATAATAATGCTACCACTTATCTAACCTATACTCTCTAGCCAATCTATAACTATTGTTTATTCTATACCTATTATAAAATAAATAATAATAAAAAATAAATACCTATCTTTTAATTATTAATTATTCATTTGATTACTATTATCTTTAATTACCATTTAATCTAATTATCCTTATAGTACTGTTTTTATAGATTTTAATACTAAAATCTTAGATTTATCTTATAATTCATATTACAGTGCGGATACCTTTATAATACTATTTTCTTCTTAGACTAATATTTATCCTAAGCGTTTATATAGCGGGATTCTTTATATTGATATATTATTTTAAAGTGTATTTGTTTTATTTTTATAATATACTATTAGTACCATTAACCTTTATACACTTTACTATTTCCCTAACTTATCAAGTTGAACATTCTAATATCAAACAAGGTTCTTATTTATTGTATATTATTTCTAATTGTTATTATTTAATTGATACCTTTGAATTAAAATATTGTACTAAGTGTATTTATAATAAAAAAGGTTATTATATTCCTAATCCTAAAATTATATCGACTTATAAGTCTCTAGATTATTAGTAAGAGTGCCTTCATTAAGAAGAGGAAAAGGCCATAACTAAAATCCTTTGTTTATATAAACAATAAGTTTTCCTACGAAAACGAGAGAAAGAAATAATTTGTTATAATATTTATATATTAAAAGAGCTTAATGCTTTAAAGAAAAAGGAAAGATTAGAAAAGAAATATATGGAAAAGAAAAAGATAAATATTATAGTCGTATTTATTCCTAATGGTTTTTCTTTCTTCAATTTCTTTAATTCTTTATTATTTCTATTATTTAACACTAAGCTTAAGGCTTTATTGGTAGATATGGGTACTTTAGATGGAATGTTTATAACTTTTTAGGGTAGCTAAGATCCTTTTTAAATTCTTATATATTCTTTGAATATGAATAGTTTAATTATTTAATTAAATATTTGATTTTGTTTTTAATATATTTATAATTTAGTATTGTTTCAATATCGTATATAACTTCTGAATTAACTAGTTCGATTTCCGTGAATGTTACATTTGACGCTTTTAATAATACTAATTCGAGTAAGAATATATAGAATATTAAATGGATATTTATTATATTTGGTAATTTTAATTAATAATTAATCGTTTTTATTATTTTATTAATCTTGAATAGTTTTAGTTTCCTATAGTTAGGTTTA